CCATATTTTTGCTTTGCCGAGCGGCTTAATGACTGCTTATTCAGTTATGTGAGCTAATACAATACACTTTGGGTCTAGCTGTGTTTTTCTGAAAGTGATAGGTACAATATTGACTTATTTTGCTCTGGCGATGTTAAGGGAAATGCCCACCTGGCCATCAGAGACAGAAAAACCAAGAATTTAAGCCGCTTAGCTGATTTCATCATAAAGAGATTTATACTTTTGTTTTTGTACATAGGCTCGCATATTTACAACTCTTAGTTAGTTTAAAATAGTGAAAAAAGTGGTTCACAATTTGAAAATCAGTAGGAGAGTTTGTAGGTATGGTGAAATATGAATATAAATTCACAAGAGTCCCGAAAACAGAAATAATTGCACTGTATGTAATATACTTTCCAATGGAGCTAAATTTGATCAGGTTGCGTCTATATAAGTGAAGATGAGAAAGTCTCAGGTAAATGAAAAAACGGTCGAGGCACCACAAATGATTAGATACGTGAAGGATGTACACTTTAGACTAATAACTTTTCAACCCACAATTCTGGCCTATCGGTATAAATCATGGGTGTTTCTGAAGTCCAGAGGGGTCTAAATCGCACTGTCCGAAATAAATTTCTGTTCCTGTGTAAATGATTTTGAATGGTGAGGCCGCTGAGATGCTGTGACATATCAGAAACATGTTGGTAATCTGTAGATACGAATCAATTGTAAATAATGAACCCACTGAGCTAATAACACTGAGCAGATGATATACGTGAAAGTGTGATTTACCTCAGTGGCAGCGATTTCGTGGGTACCAATCTGGTTGCTACATTGGACACGTAAATCCTTTCAATAATTCATGCTTCCGAATTCTGCAAAACGTCTCAACGTTTCGCAAACTTAAACAGGAAATTACAAGATAGAAATTGGGAAAATTTACTGTCAGGATGTTACATTCAAAGAGAGCCAATCAAAATGAACTATGCGTATTCAACCAGTCTACAGCGGGACAGAACGGTCGTTTGCAGAGTGAGAGCTAGTGAGGTAGTGCACGACAAGTCAAGTAGTCAGAAAACGACGGCATGTACGACTTGGATTTTCTCATCTTGTTTGTGACTTCAGTGTGTAACACAAAGGTAATATTCTCTTCGGAAATCTAATTGACACGTAGAAAAAGTTTAGTTCACTGTGTGTAGGTATGTGTTAGCATGTTAGTTTCACGCACTCACTGAGAGATTGATTGAGGACTTTAGTACTGCAGCCTTCATTGAACTGCCGTTATACGAAATGTTCGGCTGAGCTTAAGAGAAAACGGTGGAAAAACCTGGAAAACTTAACATTTACTATATTCAAATACTCAAAGATGCTACTTTATCCGTGTTTTACTTGTCAAGCTTCATCAGACAAGTCTACTTTTCAGTAGTGATGTGCCTTAGGGATGAAAGAAGTACTTGAACAGGTTCTACACTATATCTGTAATCTGTATTTTCTCTTCGATTTGTGTTATTGCCTGGGCCCTGCTATAGTTACAAGCGAGTTAGGAAGCATGAAATACAATGGTTATTATATCCTTCTGCAGACAAAATGTGTTAACCTGGACGTTTAACACCTGTTTCAGGCTTGATGCCACTACGCAGCTGCAACCTTTTAAATGTCCTGATAAGATTCCAAAAATTTCGCCAAAACTGTACATCCATAAAGTAACGACCAATATCTTCATAAAGGTTTTGGATTCATAACTTCGCATATGTTACTAACAACCCAAACATGTAGGTCCTAGAATCCAACTCCTCAAGGAGATTTTCTTTTTATTGTTCCGCCAAATTTTTTCCACATTAAAATCACGTAAGTACGACTGGAAGGTGTTGTGATCAAACATATGATATCACCCAAGTTTGTATCATTAGTTATGCAGTAATTTTGATCGAAAGTTAGTCCTAAGGGAGTTTTGTAGATGTGTATCAATTTTACCATTCCTCATTTTGGAGTAAGCTGAGGCGAGCTTTATGTTTAAAGATAAACACAGCAGGGATACGCACAGGTTCCGTTCAAGTTCATGCGTGATGGAAATCAAGCGTTAATTTAGGCAAGTAGTGTATCCGTAGGCATTCCGTGGTTCGTCTATATAATGGCAGACTTGTGCGTGGAGTATGTACATCAGTTATATCGTTGCAAATTGCCTGATATATTCCTGGGCAGCAGTCCTATTTTACGTAATTATTCACAATTCAATTAAATAATGTCATTTGTCGATGGAAATGACGGCTGGTAGACGGAGAGACACGTGGAGGTTTCCCCAGACACAATGCAGTATCGGCTTACATCATATCAGTACAGCTGGATACGCAATACCCACTGTCGACACGTTGTTCCTCAAGTATCCACCACTTGACTCTTGAATTCAAAGTCATTTTGGTTAATCCAAACTTGATTCTGAATACTCTAAGCTAGGTGAGAGTCTGAGGCTGTTAACGTTAACGATTAGTATGGAGTATACCAACGCAAGAACTGATATTCACAACTTCTATGGTATTCGTTCCGTGCAGACCAGATGCAAAGCAAAACACAATAATTGATCATCCAAATTTCGAGAAATATTTCGGGATCAAATTGAAGTGCGAGATGATTTCTTAACTAGCTAGCGATCGTGCACGAGCGAACGGACGTAACACAACGGTGTGTCTAATGGCGTGGATACTCGACCGGAAGCCTTCAGCAGAACAAGTCAACCTAAACAGTGAGGGTCAGCATCCAGTGTTGAATAATTCATGCGGTGGCTAATAGTTCTGGGGAATTACTTACCACTACTCTGTGAACGCCTTGCTTGTGTTGCAGGTCCTTCTTCTAATTTATATATTTATACATGTTTTGTATGATGCGTTCCGAAAGAATTTGGAAGGGAGAATTCACCGATTAATATGAGAAATGTATGATGCTCGTGTTACATATACAAACCATGAAATAGATAAAAAGACCAAATTAAGAAGAACACTTGCAGTGTAAAATTTTGGTTTATGATTTCTGCTCTTTTTCAGGGAGACAGGAACTGAAGCAGATGTTTCGCAGCATATGACTTGGTGTGTGGGGAGATTCAGCGGTTGGGACACTAGTGTGGATGTCTTCTACGACATTAGTTACCAACCTTAGACGAGAATTCAGAAATGCCACTGTTAGCTTCGTACTTGACAGACTTCATTCATACTGTTATCTCCCACCAATTTTAGATCTATCCTTTATAAATTTCTTGTCCACTCTCACTACTTAACCAGAGTCCTGTATCAGATACGAGCTGTACCAATTCCAGATTATCGAAATGTTGTTTCTACTAGTGTGGTAACCTTTCAAGGTATAACGCTAAGTTACTCCAGTTAAGTTGGTGAGAGTGCAATCTTAGACTGCTGTCACGCAAACTTCAGATGTTTTCATCAGGTTACACTCGTCGAGGGCTTTAGTTGTTCTCCCTAATGGTGTCATTTGATTAAATAGTGATGTTTTCGGACTGAAATTTATCTTCAAACAGCAGGCAGATTTAATTGGGTTACTGTCGTCATGTACCATTTAGGGGATCAGTTTCTCGAAATAATTTAACCTTGCTTTTGCAAACACAGACACCTATCGATGACATTCTTCATCACGCATTTCATTAGGTCCACAAAAGAAAAATAGTAGCACATTTCGAACAGTATTGTATCATCCTGTTACACTGGAGAATAACTTCTTCTCAACTGTCTTTCTTACTGCTGCGTAATTTGGGGTCCTATTTGGGAAATTTGGAAGTATAGTGAACAAAATCTGAAACTTTTATAACTAAGATATAGGTAACAAGATGACAGCTATAATATAAAGTCTTTTTGTCTACTTGTTTTTGAGAAATGAATATCTGAAGTATTCGCATTATCAGTTCGTTAAGGTGAATAAGATATTTCATCCACGTACTATCGTTATTAGCCTTTCCAATCGAATGATACATCGAGAAGGTGGATTTGTTTGTTTACCTGTCGGTCGGCGCGGTCTCATTAAAATGCCTGGAAAGCGCGAAAAGAGATACTTGGGCGTCGTTTCTATTTTTATCTTTTTGATTCATACGACGTCAGGAATAGGTAATAGCATTGGCTCTTTATAATGGTGGTTTTGGTTCATGAAATCATGGACTTGTAATTTTTTGCATGAAAATTTATGTTTGTAAGAATAAATACCTCATATTGAGGAAGAGACATTGAGGTGGTCACAACTTATCTGAATCGAAATTCATGCCTTATTTAGCTTTAAAGCAAGTTAGTTGAATTTCCTGTATTACTGACGCAGGTGTTCATATTTTCTCATTTGATGATAACTAAAAGTAGCTGTTGGATAATATAAAACTTCAATTTTGATATAATCTAACTTTGATTTTGTCAAGAATTTCGAATTACTTATATTAACATCTGACAGAAAGCTTCGGGCTTAAATGTCTTTCAAAAGCGAGAGTGTGTAAACCAACGTGAACATTGGTTTGGCATTCTGTTTAGAAAACTCAATTCGAGAATGCAGCAGGCTGCCTATTTCATTGCTTATTAATTAAGAATGTTAATGTTGATCTTGTATATAGGATTTTGTATGTGCGTTAGTAAGCATATTCCATCACACCACTCATTCTTAAGTAAGGAGTTGATAGACAGTTATTTATTGTCCTCTCACTTAGCAAAGGCAGGATTCTTGTCAAACTTTCGAATTTGCATTTTAAGTGTTCAGAAAGTTGAATTTTGTTAAAATCTCCCATCAAAGGCTAGTTTTCTTTGCCTTAAATTGTTTTCCCAAGTGAACGGAAATCTGTGAGTTTTTGTTTTTATTAGGACTAGATGAAATAGGTAGTACAAGGTACTTTTGTACTGCGCGATTGGTTTTCATCCATTCAAATGGCAAACTGCTGTGTTATAAAACATCTCATGAGCATCTGTTTTACTTGAAGTTTTCTGACTAAGGATATGAAATGTGTTAATCTTATGTATCTATCGATCATTCATTCTTGTAATGTGTCTACCTTTTAATAAAGCGAATAAGCTTTCCATTTCATTCCTCCTATGAAAGTGACATTTTCAAAAAGTGATACGCATCATATTTTGTGAAATAAACTGCAAGATATCTTCAAAAAGTGATTTTCAAAAGTGGAATTATATGTTTACAATAATTGATTATATTCAAATATCTGAATAATTATATAAATATTTAACAGGATGTGTTAATTATTTTGATGCAATTTTGAACAAGAAATGTTTATATACAGTGTAATATGCCCCTTTTAGTTTGCTAACGAAGATATCTTAATGAATTCACCAACACGATATTTAAATTTAATGTGGTTATGTATATCACTGTCTCAATTAAGGAGTGCACTTTTCTTCATTAATTACACGACATTGCGATATCCGAATGGGTTTGGCGTTTTACTCTGTCCTACTTTATAGCTAAGACATGGCCACTGAAAGCCAAATCTATGAAAACATCGGAGAATTTGATGTTCGTTCGATTTGCCGCTTGAAACGAAACTAAGGAGTGAATACTGTAGAAGTTTGGCGTGGTGTTTGGAAAAGGTAATTCAATCTGTCATTGTAAATCCTCAACGACTGAGATCTGAAGGTTTTATGCTTTCTTTTGTGTGTTAGTCTTAGTCTAAGCATGATTAGACCGAAACAAAGTTAAGGGATTTGGTCTAGACATTATACCAACCTATGAAGTCATTGTTTACTAGTCTGTGTAATACACGGAGGTTTCAGTTGCTTGGATGGTGGTCTTGGGATGGTAGGAATTAGTAGTTTGTGACTCTTAGTGATGTAGTGGTGAATTGATTATATCCATTTCTTGTCTGTCCTTAGTCATTCTTCTCATGCATTTTCTTCTCACTGTAGCGTCATTCTGTTTGCCTTGTTTGCAAGCTATGTCAAAGTTTGGCAACTTAAACGAATGAACTGATTTTTTTCTTAATGTGCGTATGAAGCTGCAAGTACGCTCTATTCTTCTGTGTTCTAAAATCTGTCGACATCAGGTAGTATTTAGTCGTCCTTATATTCGTAGTGTCTTTGATTTGGGATTACTGTGTAAGCTACTTGGTAGTTAGGTAGTAATTGTCAGATAAGAAAAGTCATTCATTTTAAGTCACCCTCTGCCTGTAAAGGGCATACTGCCTGGAGTAATTTTTGATTTTTGTGAACTTTCGCTTTCTGTTTTTTTACAGCAGTGGTGACCTGAGTCAGTGAACTTGAGATATTATTTTCCTTTGATTAGGGGATTCCGGTAAACTGTTAATTTCAACAATGCATTTCTCAGGGACAAGGTGATGCATTGACTTTAATCTGGATGGGAGCAGATTTCAAGTGATAACTGTCACTTGGCTCATTCGGTTCCTGTAAATTTTTATTGATAAGCATAAAGAACTATGTAGATAGTAGTTTGAGTAAATTATTTTCATTTTCCCATACATATTTTACTGCCTAATTTTAAGCCTAGTTTATGTTTAAATTATAAGTATAAATTGCTTAATTTCTCCAATAGGTTCCGTTACACCCGAAGTTATTGTTCTGGACGCTAACGGGAATCAGAAGGAACTAGACGAAGTTGCTGTTGTTTTCAACTCATACGTCACTTTAATTTGCCGTACTGTTTCTAACGAACATTCTTTAAGATGGATGTATGCATCTTCACAAAATGAAGCATTTACACCATTGAAAGAATCTGAACATGTCATAATCTCTTCAGAGAAAAATGAAGAAGTATCATTACAACTTAGCAATGTCAGATTTCATATGTCGGGTGTTTATCAATGTACAAATGAACTCGCCAGTCGTCAGATCAGTGTTCATGTATACGGAGGTATTTTTCATACAGTAACATAATCGTAATTCTTTAGTTTTAAGTAAAATTAGCAGTACTGTCAATTTGATAAAGAAATACGAGGTTGTTGGCTCTTATCACCTGCAGATTAATGCATTGAATATGACTCACCGTCCTGTTGTCGCGTGTGCATTCCGAGTTGGACCAAATGGTATTAAGTACACTACTGTTCGTTGGAAAGGTGGCAGGTATCATTCTAAACCTAGTCTGTATGAAGTTGCTGAAAGTCGAGACGAGAAGTCGGGTACAATATGGAGTAACTTAACTTTGCTACGGCCTTGTAAGTTAATTGTTTTCTTCCCCTGTATGTCGAACATTATCATTTCAGTTGATAATACTTTTTTTTAGATAGAAATGATTTTTTGTTCTTACAAAACTTATTGTACTGACTTTCATTTTTTTCAAATGCACTCGTATAAATTAATTCAGTTATTTTAGGCATTGTATTGTATTTCAGTGAATTTATGAAGTTTAGCGTGATTTACATTGACCTTTTTCAGTCGTTTATGAGACCAATCACATCTTGTAATGCGACTTTGGGGCACCAAAGATTATGTCTTCTAGCATTTTGTAGGTAGCTAGGACCAAAACTCACTTGGTTAATTCTGTCAAGAGCCTAGGAGCGTGAAGTAAACAGCATATTGAGCTGTTTTATTTTGGTTATCTAAAAGGGATTCGAATTAAACTTACTAAAATAACACATACCCAAGATAATAGAAATATTTTGTGCGTCAATCAAAGGTGGAAGTAGTTTTCGGAGCTGTAATATCAAGTTCTAATTGTCCTTATTACCTAAGGTGTTCTATGATTGATTATTCCAGATTCTTGTGTACTGTGTAACTGTTCAGTGTAATTATATCTTTTATTTTGAATTCACTATCTATCGCTTACATAAAGCTAGCCTATAATCCTATATTTTGTTTCTTAATAATAGTTTTAATTATGTTCACCGACTGTCTGGGGGTTTTAGTTTGTTATACCGACTTATGTAGTGCAAAGTAAACTAATTAATTAAATCAAATTCACAAGTCACGAATTAATTCACGATTTAGAATTTACACACTTCAAGGAGGTGACATTTTTACCAAAGTTTCCTTTGAAAACCAAAATTATTCAGATCAAGATATATAGTCTTCTTGATACCACATGAATGCCAATCAAGAAATCAAGTATTAATGCATGGTCCTATGTACTACTGATAAGTTGACATGAGTAGTTAGATACCATTCACGTCAACCAGTACTGCTTAATAGCCAAATCAGAGTGATGTAAACACTGAACAACCGTTTTTCTCATTCGGCACCCAGATCCTAAATGGTGCACCAGGTCATATTCAGCTCATAGGGTTGAATCACTTCAAACCATTCGGTTTCTGGCTAGCTACTTATACGAACTGGTAGTACTTTGGATCAAATCCGCAATTTGAGAACTAAGTTATTAGTACCCACAGCTATTAGTATACACGCAGAGACGAAGAACATAATCTGAATAAGCTGTCACTATTTTTAGAAAATAAACTTTTATGTATACTTTGAGAACTTAGTTTTATGTTTGTATTTCTGTTATCAGTTAATTGAAACATAAGGTAATTACTAGGAGATACAACACGTTGAGTTAATAGTATTATCAGTTAAATAAATTACATGATTTCACTTAATTCCGCATAAGTGTATCACAGATTTTGTGCAATAATCAACTGAATAGTTGCTTTAGCCATTGTATCATTTACTATCTGACTCATTGTTCCGGTTGCCTTCATTGCACACAGAAAAACATCTTGTGTGAATAATTTTTCACTGTCATTGAGATATTATATTGATGCCTTTTTTGTCATCTTTCTTTGTTCAGCAGAATATTGAGAAGATTTCATTAAGGACAATTGTTCTATTTTAATTCATAAATGGAAATTTTTTATATGGCAAGGGGAATATTTTTATTTTTATTCCTTTCATTCCAGATAGAATATAGGGCTTCGAGCTCTGAAGTTTCAGCGGCAGTGATGTGTTTTCTTCTTTTGGAATGGGGTTGCTAACCTCACTCTCAACCTTCCCTCTTTTCTGGGATTACTACCGGCCAGTAGACTAAGTGGGGTTTATGTTAGAAGTGCATTGGCGGGGATCCGAACCCACGCTATGTGTATATCTGGTGGTGACAGTTTTCTTTGATCAGTTATTTTCAATATTGATCTTCGAAATACAGAAAATTAAGATAGCTGAAAATCAGTGGTGTGTTTGTGCAGACTAATAAAGAGGAATTTTTTACACTCAAAATTACTGGTTATTGTTGATTTGTTTTGTTTTTTATTGTTGCTTACTTAAGATGCGGTGAGTTTTCGTTTGTTTGAACTGAATATCCTGGGACAGCTTTTATGTAACAGGCACTTAGTGCCACACTTATCGCGTCAGGACTGATGGTACTACACAGTTGTCCAAACCGATGTAGATGGAGCAGGGCTGGGACCCATCACCTGTAGGCTGAAAACTGAGTGCTTAAGATGCATTAAGGAGTCGTAGGATTTATTTATACTCTAATAATGTATTTATTAGTTTTCTCTTATTCCTCTCCTTTTAATTATGATAACAATCATATGAATTTGTTTTCTCTAACCATAGCTTATGATCAAGAATTATATGGCAAGTACTATTGTATGTTCAATGTAGTACCTGGTACAATGGAGATAGCCGAAGTGGAAATAAACAGTGAGTTATTTGCTCTGCTGACTGTTTAATATTCAAGTATTGCTTTTGTGGGGATTTTGTTTGATTGGATGGAGAATTTCATGACGAGCTGACATTATTGGATCGGGTCCCAGTGGCTCAATGGTCTACGAGCTCGCCTTGTAACCAGAAGGTCCCGGGTTCGAACCCTTGCGTCGGGTGCATAGTGCTGAAGAGTCCCAAACTAGGACGAAACAGCTGTCCAGTACTCCCAGGTTTTCCAATGGTTCTCTAGCTGATGTCAGCTCATGATGAAATCCTCCATCCAGTCAGACTGTTTAATACACCATGTTTCAATATTTGGGATAATAGTAATTCTAGACTTATTGTTTGGGTTTTGGGGATGATACTACTAAACATTTGTTTCAGTTATTATCTTTTATGAAAAAAAAATAACTGAAAAGCTCAGCCCATACATTCAAGTTTCAATCAGTAAAATGCTATTTCGAACTAAATACATACACTTCATCTGAGCGACTGGTATTATCAGTAGTAATAGTATGACTACAGGTCATGTAATAATAGTAACAACTGTGTTCTGGAAAATATGTAAACATATATTGCAGAATATTCCATTACCATTATTAATCGGTAATATATCATTTGAAACAGTATTGTTCTATCCAGTGTGTGACGTAATGATTTTTCATAATTTCTTTTGAAAAACCCATAGCCGTAGGTTAAAACCTGTATGAAAACAGGTTTGAGTATAGATTGTAACCTCGAGATGTAATCTGATAGTTAAAACGTGAGATAGAGTAAATAAGGATTCACTTTGATGGATGAAAAATTAGGTAGCCCAGTGATTTAAGTAAGCCTCCAGGTAAACTAGTCTCTAACTGTGACTAGTGAAGGTTATTTTGAACAGAGTACTTGATTCATTTGGATAACTTTAAATTTACGCACCATCTGTGAATTACATTTATTAAATGCACCAGTAAATGATATCAGATAGTCAATCATAAGCTATTTTGAATCAATCTCATATTTCTAGTGAATTACGTTTTTTTCTGAATATGAGTACCTCGTAAACTGTAAGATTTTATCATGATTGCATTTTGATTGAGACTATGATTATGAAGAGGAAATAAAAAAAAAAGATAAATGCAAGTAATATATGTGTAACACTTAGAGATTGAGGAAGTTATAATTCCAAATAAATTTGTATGTATATATTTATTCCACATATTTATAGTCTCGTTTTGGCGTGTTTCATATATTCCTTTAATTGCTTAAAGCTATGATAATCATTAAGCATGCACCACTTATCTTTCTCCAAATAAATTTGTACATTGGATATGCAACAGAGAGGGAAACAGAACTAGTTACTGGGTGGCACTCCAATGGCTGGTCAATGAATTCACCTCATAACCTTATGGTCCTGGGTTTGATCCCCTGTGGGGATCCGTGGGGGTATACTGGCGAAGAGTCACAGATTAGAACGAATCAGCTATTCAGTTCTCTTTGAATTTGAAGATGTGGTTCATTGATTTAAGTACTTGACTTCCAGCCAGTGGGTCCTGGGCTTGAATCCCACTCCCACGTACTTCAAACTGGGCAGCTGGTTGGTGCCATTAGCACTCACACAATGTGTGTGCGGTTCATCGTCTGGAACAGACTTATTCCTAGGGTTGAGTTCAAACACTGCACTACATTTTAAACAAAATTCATTGTTGACATGATTGCAAAGAATAAACTGTGTTCAAAATGTCACGCTATAAATAATTCTGTTTCGCTATGTGATATGTCTAATAAACAAACTAATTTTAATAAAAGGCAAGTGGTATGCGTAACAACTTTGACAGTTTTGAGAAACTAGTGACACGCGTGGAACACGCCAAAAGGAAGATGGTAAGTGGGTGAGGTGTAAAGACATGTTATACCCAGAGCGAGATGGAATGGAGGGGGGGTAAGGCAACTGATTGATCGTGACATTTTGAATCATATCTCCAAATGCTTTCACCCAGTAATTAATATTGCCCGCCACTGGTAAACAGTATCCTAGTGTTTATTTAAAGTGGGAGAGGTAGATCAGCGTAAAATCATGCATAGTTATCTATCAGTTCAACTTGCAACTCTGAAAAAATGTACGTAAATGTACAAAAATGAAAATGTTGAAAATCAACGAGTGTGAATGGAGAGAAAATGACTAAATAAGCGTAAATTGTAAATGTTCAGAGTCTTGATAGTGATAAAACTTGAATATGTTAACTCCGTTCTGAACAATTTCAAGGTATGTCATCAAGAGTCTCCAAACACTGATTGTTGACCTTCTGAGGACCGTAACGAGCCAATATTGTCTTCTACATTCCTCAAATTACCAATCAGAGAATTTTAATGGATTGTTGCCACTTTTCGATTTGAATACTTCCAACTAATTAGTTGGAACTGAACTGAATAGTCTTAATAACATGGTCAGAGTTGACTTCTATGTTTATTCGAACTATTGTCTGTCTGGATTCAACATAGAACTTGGCACCGATGTGCAGCAGTTCGAGTTGCCACGTTCCAAATAGCACACAAAGGTAGACAAGAAAATGAGTGAAGAGAATCAATAGAGTTTTGACAAGTATAAGATTGAAACAGAATGAGTAATGGTAGAAAGGAATATGAAAGATTACAGAGACTGAATACATCTGCACCATTGACAGCGATTTTGAGCCATGTCACCTATTGTCCCCAGCCATTGATTCTTAGAGTCCCGAGGGCCCCAACCCGGAAGTCTGCATCTCCCTACCTGACTCAGTTTAACTGTCAAGGATTTCATGGATTGATGCCATGTTTTTGTTTGGCCACCACTTACTCTTTTCCAACCTGCCCCTATATCAGCTAGTAATGCCTGTCGGGGGAGGCGATGGTTAGGCATGCGCAGCACGTGACCTAGCCATCTCAATCTATGTAACTTTATAGCCTCTTCGATCGATTCTCCTTCTTTGCCCAACACTACGCCTAACGTCAACATTACTTACCTTATTATGCCACCTAACGTGAGAAAGAGATCGTAAACATCTATGATCAAAAACAGACAACCTTTTCATGTCTTCAACTCGTATTGGTCATGTTTCAGGTCATCATTATATCAGATTCGTTTAAATGTCAATTTGAAAAATGACGATAGTTACTATTGAGTGTCCAATCAAAGTATCCATTACAGTCCTACAGGATGTCAGTCACGAGCCCGAGTAGCCTAGGATTAACGTCTCTGACTGCAACGCTGGGTGAGCTGGGTTGAGATCTCAGAAGCGACATGAGTTCCTTCAAGATTGCAGATATACCTTGCCAATGAGCTCCAACAAACACAAAAACTAGGTCTAAGACTTCCTTCTCATTGCTTCCAACCATCGAACAATAAATGATTTTTATGATATGTGAAAAGCAAAATATCAAATCTAATGTTTTCTGTGTTTTCTCTCTTTTTTTCATACCGCATTAATTAATTATGCGCCTGTGTTGTATTTCAAGTTCCACCATTGATACACAAATATGAACGTAGTGTAAATCCGTATTCTGGTGTAAAATATACTTTCTCATGCGATGTTGTTGCCTATCCACCAATTACTGAACCTATTACATGGGTTAGAAATGATGTTCCTATAATTATACAAAGTAATGGTCAAGCTTATATAGAGGATTATGACAGTGAAAATCGTATACACTTTGAAACTAAAAATGTATCCAACGATCAAATTGTATTCGATTCAATACAACCAGACGATAGAGCTGTTTATTCATGCTTTGTTCGTGGAGCACTTGGCAATGATACTGCAGCGTTTTATTTACGAGTAAAAGGTTTGTCAGCATTTTGTTTTGGTGAAGAAGATTTTATTAATTCGCATTTTTGTTTTAAATTGAATTAAAGGGGAGTGTGGTAAATCAAAAATAGTATATTGATTGTGTTTTTGCTGGGGTGGCTGTATTTATGTGTGTACATATTGGTAAGTTATGTAGGTGTCTTAATAGTAGTATGAATTCATATCGAAAAGGTGAATACCCTGTTGAGACTGGGTTGGTTAATCGAAGATTCAAACCAGTCAGCGTCAGATCGATAACTGAGAGGATTGATGTATTGAAGCGAAAATGATACCTAATAAATAGCTACTTATTGACCGATTTTGCGAAGTAGAACTGTTTACAGAAGCGCAGCAGTTCTAGTTTTGATATTCCCTATAGCACACAAAGGTAGAGAAACTTTAAAGTAATTATAATGAATGGAAATTTACGGCAGGAAGAATGTGTATATGGAAAATAATGTGACTATTTAATGGATCTTGAAAGTTGTAAGTAGTGAATGCATCTGCATCGCTGAGAACTATTTTGAACCTTCTATAATAAGTCTCAAGCCATTGTCTTTCGAGGATCCCAGTTAGTCAGTCAGTTTACACTTCCCTACGTGACTCAAACCAACAGTCGAAGACCTCGCTGATTCATACCAGATGTTTATTAAATAATTACACATTTAAAAAACAATTAAATCCATGCGATTTCACTTCGACTTTTGTTTTACATGCAGAAAAAATGAACTCTGAATTGTGAATGTTCTGACTGTTACGCTGTACGTATCAGTATGCCTTTTTATCGGCTTTTTTAAGTTCCAAAAGACGTCATTTTGATGTTGAATTATACTTTTATTAAATCACAAACTTGGTACCTTTTGGACATTAAGAGATGAGCTGCATAAAATGTCACAGTTTGTGCAAAAGCTGGGATACTGCTCGGACGCCCAGATCTAAGCAGGTGGTAATCTTAAAAGGCCACTACCCCAACCTTCGACTGGAAGTCTGACCCACAAGCCAGTAGAGCATCGTTAGGAGCTACATTTCCATTGTTTCCGGTGGTCGGAACAGGTTCATATGATATCCTATCCGACTGGATTCTGAAGCCCATGTGCAACATAAGTATCGAATAATCAGGGTTTTTCAGCTCCCTTAGGTGAACTAGAATTTCCACCAGTCTGGCTGTAAGTGGTAGACGTTCGCAATCGCACCTTCACTTATTTCGAGGAACATTTCCATCTCATGAAGGCAGTGAATAGGATGCACCCTACGTTGGATTAGATGTCATTTAACGTAGAAAACCTAAAAAAGATAAAACCTTATATTGTGAATAGATCTTATGTCTACAAATACTCAGGGAATGAGATAGAGGCGGAGTTAAGTCAAAGGTTCTCACTGTTGTTGTTCATCAAAAATAACTCTTTGCTGCACGATCCTCATTGATTATTTGAAAAAATGCAGTCATTCTTTCCAGTAAAGTCGTCTACACAAATCAGTTGTATTCAGCCTAAAGTAGCTAGTTAGTTTCTGCAATGTGTTGGTATTCATTCTGTACTTCATCACAACTAGTCAGAATTCAGTGTCCCGAAACAGATTTTTCATTTACTAGGCTATGAACCACGTTTATTGTTTTAATGACTGCTGATACAACCCGTTCGTACCCTCAGGTTGAAATAGGTGGAGCAGAATTTGGAACCTGAAGGCCGTTTCTTTGGAAGCCGCGTGCTAAGGCGAATAAGCCACGTCATTCTGCTTCATCAGGATTTATTATTTTCAGTTATTCGCATCTATTATTAAATGGCATGCAAACTTTGCTATCTTAGGCACATCCTTTTGTCAATCTGTTATTGTCACTACTACGCTGAAACATCAGTATGGAAATTAGCACAGAAGTATATCAGTTTAAGCTATCATATTTCATAAAATTCCTACACGAAAATAGAATAATATTACAATACATAAACATGGATTTGACAGTGGGAATACTTTTAGTGAAAACTATTGGCACTGCATTTTGAATAATTGATAAAAGCTTTTAAAAATATTTTTACTGTAAGCTTCATCTCTTATCACAGCAGTAAGGTTTGGGTAGGATTTCCTTGGACAGCGATTCGTTGACATCTTAACATCTTGACGATAAGAACTCTTATTTTTTCTGTTTCCATTCCTTTCAACATTTAAAACAGTGAGTTGTACGTAAAGGAATGTGTATACAAATTCTGGATACTTTGTTATAATGATAAGTAGGGAGTAGTGAAATCCTCTAGCTATACTAATAACTCAGTATTACCTTCTCTAACACCTGCATTGGTAGCATATATATATACAGTATATGTGTATTTATATTCTCTATACTGCAGATCGTCGGGCTCCCCTATGGCCTCTAATTGGTATAATCTTGGAGGTATCAATTTTACTTATAATTATTTTGATATATGAATTGAAACGTCGTGAGCGAGCTAAACGACGAGATGCAAGCGATAACCTAGTCGTTTCCAGTAAAACACCGAATGCAATGTATGGCGTTGACGAAGCTAATGAAGATATGTGAGTCACTTTTAAGAAAAAAAAAGACTTATTTAACCTTAATGTTATATATAATTTCCGTTTCTTCTTATTGTTGACAGTGAGTCGGTGGTTCAAGCACGCAAGTGGTATCCAGGTTTGACTCCTTTTTCTCATGCAATCCTAAACCTCGCCTAGTTAACTAGCTAGTAGTAATTTAGGGAAAGAAGGGAGGTTGGACGTGAAACTAACAGCCTCACCCCCTTTGAAAGCAGCAACACCTCTGCTGAAACTTTAAAGCTTGAAGCCTTATATTCCACTTATAACGCAAAGAAATGAAATCTAGTCTGCGATACAGAAAAAATAGACTACCTTAAGGTTTAGAATTCTTAAATAGCTATTTCGTTTGAATCAAATATTTCACAAGTAAACAACTGATTGTTGTTTTTTCCAGTGTTTTATGGATTCAGGTAAGTGTATTTTTAGTTGTGTTTTTTAAAAATGGCAAACACAATCAATGGCGACCATGGAGTGCGAACGCACCAATAACCTTGAACGCATACCATTCGTTGCATTACAGAACTTGCCGTTTGTTTACCAGAAAAATTAACATAATAAAAGTAAAGACATATTAAAGACGATATTTCACCCTGCGATAACTAAGAAGTACTTCCCATTTCAGTGAAGGGTAACAGTTTTCAAGTTTCATAGCTATCGAAACGGTTTCATCTATATGAACAACGAACCACTCTCGTTCCATTTATTTATTTACAAAATACAGATAATAATAATAAAACACCCTTACCCTGGTACTTACCTTAAACCTAATACTAACCTTAACCGCAACCGTTACAATAATACTAATCCTATTCCTAACATGCTATCAACCTATTGTTCAAACAGTATTTAAAAATGAGATCAGGATGAAATTTGCACATCGATTCGTGCACTCGTTCATACTGGCTCTGTAATAACGACAGGTTCTGTAATCCAAGGAGAATGATATGCATTCAGGGTTATTAGTACCTTCGTACTCTGTGGTTGCTATTCCTAAGCTTGTTCCCTTCATTAAAAGAGCGTAGACCGCATCTCATTATCACTAAGAGATGGATAACTATTGTTTAAATGGTAATTTTTTACTTAGAATAAATTACTTTCTGGTAGCTATAAGCGGTTTGTTTCATTATTGTCCTGACATCTTTGCACGATTTCCTCCATGCCACCCTCGCATTGACGACCTAATCGTCGCTTCCCATTGGCATTTCATTTGAGGATCTGGCCTGCAATGTTACGTGATGGTCTCCTTAGCATATGCCCTATCCATCTCCATTTTCCCTTACATATTTGTTGAACGATAGGATCTTGATTAGTTTGTTCCCATAGATTCTTGTTGCTAATTCTTTCTGGCTGGCTGGTAGGCCATTCGATCTTCAATATGGAGCCAGCGAAGTGGGCAGCTGTTGGTAAAAGTCTGCAGCAGCTTGTTGGAAATGCTTTTCGTGACGTATGTGCCTAGTTTCTGACCCATATAAAAGAACTGACTTCACACTGGTGTTGAAAGTTCTAATCTTGTTGTTTTTGTTAAGTGCAGAAGATTGGCACACCGATTTCAGATTGATGAAGGCATATCTTGCCTTTTCGATTCTGCCTGACTTTGACATCTTCATCCGTGCCATCCACCTGTGGTTGAAACCGTGCTTCCTGACTGAATAAGTGAAGGAAGTAACCTCTATCAAATCTCCCCCGTTGATGGTGACTGATGTTGGTTGTTATTGTTGCTGTTTGTTGGTTATTTTCATCACCTTCGTCTTCTCTACGCTAACCTGGAGTCCTGTTTTCTCTGCCAGCCTCTTCAGCCAGTTTGTTTGTTTTCGCTTACGATTCTTCGAGTTTATGTGACATTAAACATAAATCATATTATTTTATTTAAGTAAAATTTCATTTAAATGAACATGTTATAGTAGATAACAAGTTAAAAATCGTCTTGAGAACTACAACCAAATAACTTATATACACTATTGCAGGTGTAACTCTTTGACTAGTTGGCTTGTGTAGTTTATTTCCAGTCAATAAAGTATTACTTGTTCTAATCTCACATCACTTGCTGAAGTGTGATCGTTGCAGTAATCTCGTTAACTTTGTTTTCGGTTAACCACCTTTAGTCCTCTTCCAGCCTAATTTTATTTCGGTTATTCCTCAGTGGAATTATCTTGCATAAGTTCGTATTTGGTCACAGAAATTCACTGATCACGAATAAAGTGATTGGGAATAATAATAAATTTTCTAGATCACTATTTTTGTACAGTAAATTTTACTGTCTTCATTAGCAAGGTGTAGTAACCACTACTATTGTAGCAGAACTGTAAATTTTTTTATTCCTTTACGTTCCCAGTGGAACATAGGGCACCTTAAAGCTAGAGCTTTGAGGTTTCGGTAGCAGTGGTGTTTATTTTCACGGGATGGGATTGCTGGCCTTAGGTCCAACCTTCCCTCTTTACCAGTCTTATTACTGGCTTAGCAAGGTAATGGAGTGCGTCGGCCGGGGATCGAACCCGGACCACCTGAGACGTGGTCCGACGCGGCGGAACTATATACTACTGATTGCTTGAGATGAGTAGTTGTATGCCACTCATATCAGCAAGTAGTGCTTGCTAGCCAGCCAGATCGAGGTGATGTAAACACTGGACAGCCGTTTCGTTCGTTTGGGGCCCTTCTCATCAGCGGTGTACGTGGTTTGATTCGGCTCAGAGAGGCAAATGAATTCAAACCAAAATGAGTGGAACAGCAGTCCATTGTGTGCATCACTCCAATCCGGCTGGCTGGCAAGCAGTATCCATCTAGTTATCTCAACCAGTCAGTAGTACTATAGCATCGTGCATTTATCCATGCTTGATTAGCATTTCCGGTGTCAATCAGTTCACATATTTGAATAATTTCGGTTTCCCAAAGGAAACTGTGGTGACTGCGTAAATTGCAAACTAGTTTTCAAATTACAACTTGGTTTTTATTATTTGAGTAATTTATATTGCTTGCCTTTTATGCTTTTCTTTTTTAATCACAGCTCACATATATTGTGAAACTTAAATGCTCTTAAAGTATGATGTAAAGTTGTTGTTTGTTCTTTCCACATTGACTTACGTGTATTTTTACATTTGCTTTTATGTTTGTCTAGTGTTGATTAGTTTTTCCCCTTTTTTTCTCTCTGACATTTGCCTTGTATTTACAACTTCTTTTTCAGGTTATTACGACAAAGAGGTGGCTATCAATAGACTGGAACCTTGTGCAGTTTTCATTGTACCATGTTTTTCTCTCTTTCTCACACACACACACACACACACTCTCTCTTGCATACAATCCTCCTTCCAGTTATTATTTGATGCATTTCTCATGATGTAAACAACTTTCACTCTTGAATAATAATGAAGAAATCAAACTTCATGATATACCAAAAATTGTTATTTCTAGTCATCAATATAATATCATATTATTACACGCGTTGGTTATTATTAAGACGTTGTTACCTGAAAATAAATAAATAATGAGGCATTTGTTCCTTGTGTAATATTTCTCCTCTCTCTCTCGCTCTCTGTCACCTTGGTAGCATTTTCTTCATCTGCCCGTTTTTTTTGTTTTGTTTTTTTACACATGACATATACATACTCACGTGCATTTCTTATGATTTCACTCTTTCATACACTCTCTCACATACAGATGTGTACCATCCATATTCATTCTTAATTATAAATATGTAAAAAATACTGGTTATTTATATATATTTATTCTTAATTACCAATAGATATTATTGTTCATTGTAGAGAGAAAAAATATACATTTCTAGTCCATTTTGTACAATTACTGTTTTCTCATTATCTCCCAATTCGTGGTCCCCCTCCCCCTTCTCCTTCTCCCCCCAGTTGTTTTCCTCTCTCTCTCTCTCTGTCTCTTTTGCACTAAACTTATCCTTAGGTTATTCTATTTACATTTGATTTTTGTGCAATATTTGTTTGTTTGTTTGTGTATTTTTTCCTCCCTGCTCACATTTACTTGCATTCTCTTTTTTTTATTTTCCTCCGTTGTATTCTATCCTACACACAGATTTATTTATTACTAGTTATGCTAATTTATATCCTATCCTATCCTATCCTATCCATATCCTTTCTTCAAGTGTTAGAGTGCATTTCTTTTTTGTTAGAGAAATTCAAATTATATATATCATTGTTATTATGCACACTGAGAATTATTATTATTATTACTATTACTATTACTACTGTTACTACTGTTATTATTATTCCGGGAACATTGTATGCAGTCTGGTACGCAGTGTATGCAGTAGTGCTCTCTATCGTTTGTTGTTTGTTTGATTTTTTCACATCTATGTCACAAAATTTCCTCCAAAGAAAATTGTAGTCTGTGATATTTAACTGGGACTGTTTTACTGTTTGTTTAAAAGATTATTATTATTATTGTTATTATTATAATAATTATAATTTTAGTGTATAGTAACTGCGTTGTTTTTCTGCTTTCTAGTTTTGCTTTGTTCTGTTTTATTATATCTGAGTGGAGTTAATTTTTTTATATTTTTTATGAAGAGTTACTCACTTGTATAAGGTGGTCATATGATGTATGCATATAAAATCAAATAGTGGTAAGTGACACTTAGTTTTAGGGCTTATATGCAAAGGAATAGACACAATAGTATATGACATTATCGTGTAACCAACTAGCTACCCCTAATCCTCCGCATATCATATCACATAAGGACGTCATACGAAAGTGTAGTAAGGAGTGAAGAGAGAGAGAGAGAAAAAATGGAAATTATTTTATCAGCAGTTGTAAAACAACACCAGACGACAATTGGAAATCTTCATAAAACACTCATACTAGTGTCTAATAGGGAGGCATATGATATGACTATTGGTAATTGTCCTCGAAGCGTGAACAGTAAATCTAAAAAAAGTGCTGCACTACTAATATATTAAATAAAATTATTCTACTATAGAATGATACTCAATGCTCACATTGCTCAAATAATATTCTTATATTTAATGAAATCTGAAACTGAGTAAGATTGGAATATATTGTATTTGATTGGTTGGTTGGAGGATTTCACCATGAACTCACATCAGCTAGAGAACCAATGGAAAACCAGCTGGGAGTACTGGACATATGTTTCGTTCTAGTTTGGGACTCTTCATCAGTACTCATCCACTGGAGTTCGAACTCAGAACCTTCTGGTTACAAGGAGAGCTGGGTTCGAACTCCAGTGGGTGCGTACCGACGAAGAGTCCCAAACTAGGACGAAACAGCTGTCCAATACTTCCAGCTGGTTCTCCTAGCTGATGTTTTAGCTCATGATGAAATCCTCCAATCAAACTAAATCCCTACAAAAAACCAATACTTGAAAATATATTGTATTTGTTCAGTTTGTTTGAGAAGTTCAAGAAGTTGCATTAGCCTAGTGAGCTGATTGCTAAAAAAATTTCAGCATGGATAAAAAAGAGGCTCGTTTGGCATTTACCAAATAACATCATCTTTGGCATAGACGTGATATCTGACTATCGAACTAAGGACGTGTGTGCTGCTCTTTAATGGCTATGAAACATGAACATTGGAAGTGGATGACGACATTAAGAGTGCCGCTGTCTTTTATCATAGGTGTTTGTTTTCTTTTTCCTGAGTAAATTGGTATAATATCGTCAGTAATATTGAGCATAGGTGTGGAGTATTTGGTGAAGAGAACAATTCAGTTTTTGAGGTTGTTAAGCTGCATTTATTGAGATAGCCAGGACATGTGTTACGCATACCAAGCCATCGGTTTCGACGAACAGTGTTAGCTTGCATAGGATTAGGCTTGAGGAGGCTTGGGGATCGTTAAACCAAAACCTGACATCAGTCCACGTAATCTTTGACAGTGAGTGTAAGCCAGCCAAGTAGGAAAGTGTAAACTTCCCAGTTGGGGTCTTCGAGATGCTACCAACCAATGAGTATAGGTCGTTGGTGATCATATGGTTCGAAATCGTTCTCAATGGTCCAGATGCATTCAACTGTCATACATGTTTAATAAATCCTCATGTCTTTACGTGTTATTATCATTTCTCCCTCAAATCTCTGCTCATTAAAGTTCTTTTGAATTTCTTTTCTGTACTTTTTGTGCTGTATGGAGTAAGAAAACTTGGACTTCTGTGCGAAGTTCCTTTCTAAATTTTATATAAACCAACATCCATTATGGCAATGGTGATTCGCATGTCTCCTTAACTAAAATGCAAACTTCAATAACCTAATTCAGGGAATCTTCAGCAATAGAAGATATGAAATTCCATATTCTTCTATCATCATTGTTCACAAAACACTACTAATGTATGTGTTGGAGTGGAAGACATAATTCCTTGTCAACTGATATTTCTTATTAGAAACCGGAAATCTGAATCTTCTGTATTTCAGACCTTTCATTAACCAGGGTTTTGACTACTTTTCAAAAATTAAATTCATTGTTTGCTTTAATAAAAAGATAAGTGTAGATTTTCAGGATTTATAAATGCTATGCAATTTACAACTATCCTAGGTTACAAAATACTAGGCATTTAGCGTCAGAGGTGTTCCTCACAAAAGTGAAACGGTGATTGTGAACGTCTATAGCTGACAGCTGAATGATGAACATTTAGGTCTACCTATGGGGAGGGGACTGGAAAATCCTGACTATTCCAAACCTATTTTGTACATGGGCTACAGAACCCAATTGGATTGCATGGCGTATGAAACTGTTTCGGTCACCGGAAATCATGGGAACCTAGCTCCTGACGATGCTCTACTGGCTTGTGGATCAGATTTCAAGCCGAAGGCTAGAATATTGGCCTTTTAAGACTACTGTCTACTTCGGTCTGGGCGTCCGAGCAGTATCCCAGCTTCCGCACAATCTATGACATTTTATGTGGCTCATCTTTTGATGTCCACAGTGTACCAATTTTGTGTTTTAAGAATCATAAAGTTAAATTAGGTTTGGTTGAGTTTTAGATTTTCCCGTCGATTGATTGCACCGAAGTGCTCGGTCTCAGGTTGATATGTCGGCTTCTTGTGCAGATGCTTCGACGATGTCTGGGTATGTAATTAGAATTTAATTGGTGGATGGTGACTAGCAGTGGAATCCAGGATGTGCATTTCGTCCTACTTGGGACTCGTCATCTGGGTGGGATGGTAGGAGCATTATCACCCGCTGGGGAATGCAGGTACATCCATATGACGAGTCCCAAATAGGGCGAAATGCCCATCCTGGATTCGACTGCTCGTCACCATCCACCAATTAAATTAAATTAGGTGTTTTCTTGTATCCGACATTCGAATTGAGATGCTTCAGCTGGTAACTAAACATGGTTTTTATCAATGAAAGCTTTATTTTCAGAGTTTGTTTGAATACTATACAAAATATTCATTGTCTTGGGAATAAGCAGTGAAATTAGCAAAGACTTTTTAATTAATGATGAATCAGTACAGATATTTCTGCTTATTACCGCCTATTCCTTGCATTGTCTTCCTTAATTTTTATTTATTCATATAGCTACTTGATGTAAATGTTACAAGTAAGAATAAATAATAACGGAAGCCGACTATTTATCGGACACATAATGTAACCTTTTTGATTAGAAATATAATTTTTGACTTAAGGTATAAATATTTTTATCATATGGATACACTATATTTCTATTATTTTGTATCAATATCTACAGTCTGCTTTTACGGTCAATAGTTAAAGTGGTCATAGCAACGAATAAGTGAATTGATGCATTGAATACAATTGGAATAGAAATATATATATGGTAGGTGTTCAAATGCGCTTGTATGCTACTGTCAACACGTTCAAATAAATTTCATCCCCTTCAAGTACCATTGACTGAAATCGTTTTTCATATATTGATAGCAAATTAATTAAATTTAAGATTACGTGAATAATTCAAAAATTAGGTAATATTCAATTCATGAAGTTGAAGCTTATTGTCTCTTAGTTCACGGGTTTGAACCCCCTCTCCTCCTAATCTAATTTGTGCAACCCAATGAGTACTGTAAGCTCTCACACAGTAGAGGTGATTGAGTAGTGCGTTCTTACTGTGGTCTATCACGATTCTCACTTACCTGTGTCTAAGATTCCATTTTAATGTTTTTACTATAGAACACTTTAAATACAGTTTATTGCAAACATTCATATTGGGAGTACGATCCAATTAATTTAGTTTAACTTCTCCCCTTACACATTAGTCTTTACATTCATACATCTTTAAAGCATTACTTTAACTGGGAAATAGCATATTTACATTGCGTGTACTACTATTATATCCTTGTGTTCCGAGTGGAATATTGGGCTTCAACAGTACATCTTCATTTCACCCTCTTCTCTGAAGTCTTCTTTGGCTGGCTCCACGACTGCTCATTAGGTGTCATCTCCTAGAGCGCCCAACTTGTCGTTTCCTCTTTGGGTACCACTCTAGAGTGGGACGCATGATGTCATTCAACTGTTTCTTCAGCTTGTGCCTGATCCATCTCCATTTCCTTCGGCATATTTGTTGGGCAATAAGTTATTAGTTGGTTAGTGACCTGAAAGAGTTCTGTTTTGCTAATATTAGTTAAATCATATTTCTATTATGACTATTTACAATAAATTATTATATAAAATGTTACATAGGAAAAATTATATACATACAAACTGACCTCTTATCCTGAAAAACAATAGATGGAAAACTTCTGTGACCGATAACGGTTTGAACTCGAATTCTAATTACGCTAAGAGATGACATTATC